CACAGTTGCAGTGTCTTATTTCAAGTGCATTTTATCTAAATATATTATTTTAAGAGTAAAACTACTCATTCCATTGACAAATCATCTTATTTGCCTACTTAAATTAAGGGGAAATACACTTAGTTTAATATATTTTTTATGTCATTATGCTTCTAAGCATCATCATATGGCCTATTTACTTAAAAACATTCTGATGTTTAGAGGACTGCGGCAACCAGCGGTGCTCCGAGGCAAACCGCAGCCTGAACTTAGTGTAGCCCATCTGCAGCAGCCCTCTCTCGGCATAGCCGTGTGTGAAATACTTCTGGCTCTGATGCCGTTTTTTGTTTTGTTCATTATCTAGAGACGATTAATAACAGGAGGTGAAATGTAGCTCCAGACTAGCTTTGAATGTGGTGACGTCACGACTACGATTCTGTCCCAATGGACCCAGGTTTATTCTGTGTTCCTGTTCTACCCGAGTCCACACTGTCCTGTGTTCTTGTCAAGAACGTACTTGATGAGGACAAGAGTCAATACTCACGTTCTTGTGAATTGAGAATGAACCCATCGACTGCGTCTTGATGGATAAGAGATTATTTCGCAATTTAAATAATTGTGGATCCTCCAAGATGGCAGGGAGGTGTTTAAATGAAGGTTCTGAGCTAAGATGGATGTTTTTAAAGTCTCTATTCAAACAGTCTGGATTAGGCAAAAGTCTGAAATGCCACAGATAATCCAACAACACAGCAGAAAGGAAAATGTCACAGAGAAGACAAAACATACTTATCTCTTACACATTAACATGTAGTGGTTTACCGATACAACCAGCAGTTGATAAGTTTGGCTACTTCAGCATCTTTCTTATCCTGTATTGGTATAAAGTGATGTATGCATGCATTAACAGATTCATTGATGCATCCAGCAGCCAAGCCTTGAGATCACATCAAGTTCACACTTTATTTCCACTATTAGCTCTGTGTTTAGTCATTAATAAATGTTTCTTTTTGTTTAAACTGAGACTCGCGTATCGTGGCAATTTTTTAAAAGTAAATGGAAAAAGAAAATGTAACATCATAGCGGCAGCTTTCAAACCCACAGTTACAAAGAGCTTATTGTGGATGTGGCTGAGCAAGGCTACTCTTTTTCTTTGCCTAAGAAGTAAAACCCTGATTTATTTTCTTTAAAAACTCCTCAACAAAATCTTAAGATCAGTGGAGTTAGAACAATTCACACACCATGCTAATGAACAATAATCAGGTTGCAGTAAAAGCTTTAAAATGCTAAAAATGGCACCACAAATTAATGAAACCACACTGAGAGTTCAAAATGTTGTTCATTACTTCATCAAAATTCTGAGGCCCCAGCCCTAAAAATTTAATATTTACATATAGATTTTGTTTTAACTCCTCATGGGCTGACTTGGAAATAGAGAAAAGCTACAAGGAGGATGTCAGTGCTGGTGTGTTATTTTTATGTTGCATTAACAGGGGATGCATTTTCAGCATCAAAGTGTCTAATTTACATGCCAAGTCTATGGAGGACAGCACACAGAGGTCCAGCAGCGCTGTCGCTACCCAATCTGTCCTGGAAGCATGATCCATCCTACGCATGCGTGAATAGAATAATACGATCCAGGTCGTCCAAAACCATGTAATAACGGTACTCAAAATACTAAATTATATATTTTAAACATTAAATATTGTTAAACTACAGCGTATAGAAAATATTAAAGACTTTTCTGGAAGAAATTGATACGTTTTACATTCTCTCCATTGTATTACGTGACGTCATCATAAGACATGCCCAGAACAGTCACTACAAAGTTTGAAAGTCTATTTACGTTTTTTTTTATGTACTGCTTTTTTCCATTTTTAGAATATGCAATATTTACGCAAATACAAAAATATTCAAAGGAACCCCCTGCATGTAAAAGCCAAAAGGATAAAAAAAGTAAGAAAGAAGAAGTATTGCCTTCCCGGAAGTTATTCTGTCCGGGAATGTGCAGGACAGATTGTGCTTCTGGGTCAGATCGGGTAGTGAAAGGCGCATCCAAGCTTTCTGGTGTCCAAGCGTTTAAACGCTCGAAATTGAACTTTTGCGGCTGGACACCGGAGCGTCAACCAATCAGAAAAGTTTAACCAGGAGTTTTTTGGGGGAGACAGACACTACATGCAAGCTGGCATCGCTTCTGCAGACATTCTGCATAGGAAAAATAAATATCAAGTGAGTTAAACTCCAAAAGGCTTTAAAAAAAAAAAAAAAAGCTGGAAGTGTGGATTGTTGTGTAGAAGGAAGAGAGAATGAGCTCTGATCATTACTGCTGCACTAAACTATGGCGAAATAGTTTATTAATACCTAAAAATGTTAAAACCTGTCCACTAAAAAATATTGGTAAATGGTCTGTACTAACATAACGGTTTGATCAAAGTCCTTTA